AGACCCCTGGGGAGACCTAGACGTAGATGGGAGGATAATCTCAGGCGGGATCTATGGGAGATAGGAGTTGAAGGAAACTAGATTTTGTTGGCCCAGGACAGGGCTTTGGTTAATTCGGTGATGAACCTTCGGGTTCGGTAAGCCATCTAGTTAGTTAGTTAATCCATAAAAACCATGTCTGTGTATTTTAGAATGATGACTGTATAACCTTCATGAATTTTGTTGTCAGATGGGCCCTTTTCCTTCTTTACATAAATGTTTTTACCTTAACAGCTAAAATTTGTAAGTGAGAATGGCCTACATGTTTGAGGCTACACTCTGTAAACTTCCAAATGAACGTGAAGTAGAACGCTGTACAGATTATCAGGAACTTGATCTCATTCACAATGATAAATGGTACAGAAAATTTTAAATACAAATATTTATTTGTTTGTAGGTTGAATGTAACATTACATTTTACAGTGCAGTTCCAAAAACAATTACATATTTGTGTGCTTCATATAGGGATTGTACACAAATAATAATTTTAATTTTCTTATACAATTTTGGGTTTTGCTAAAGCAAAAATTGATGTCATTTGCTAGCATTCTAATATGTGCCTGCTGTGATGTAGTGGAATATTTCACCGTGTCTTTATCGCTTGTGTGATCTTGCTATTGTCAGATGTCTGCTATGTATTTCCATTAGTTTCCCCATTTACATATTTAAAGTGTCTCGGTCTGAGTGAAGAAAATGCGGTATCAGGATTCAGGAGTGATGAGCCAACTGTTTGGAACACGATTTTTCTGATCGGAACAGCTTGCAAATGATGGTACATGTAGGGCAGAAGTAATATTTGACAGGTACAAGGATTTTCAAGACCCAGTGCTGGGTTTCCTTGTAATGCAGCGCCTTATATCTAGGATTGTTCTCATTCAAGTGAATACTTCAAACCTTCCTCACTTAACTTCAGGTCGTATTACTGGAAGATCAAATCTGTACTGCCAGAAGTTTACATCTTGCAAGCATTTAGTAACCTAACCTATCACAGTGATTCTTAAATAAAGAGGTGAGTTTTCATTTCTTATATTTTGTATAGGGGGCACAAGAAGAGCTACTGGCTTAAGACAAACACTGATAGACATCTTTCATGTCTAAAGCAATGATTCAAAACCTATTTTTTCATATTATGATATGCTGATAATGAAACTGCCCCCTCCCCTTCACCCACGTACAAAGAATAGCAGAAGTTGGATCGTCTGTGAAAGCTAAGAAGTGTATGTGTGATACTTTGATGACCTCCACAACAGTAAAATTATTTGGCATATAAAATTAAAGAAAGAGAAGAAGTCTTTGTTCTAGGGTCCTAAAGAAACTAGGATATTGTAATTATAGATAACAATATCACAGCCTGTGTGCTGGAAAGATAAGAGAGGCAGCTGAGGGGAACTTTTGGTGCAAATAATACTCTAAAGCCCCAAATGTTCAAACTAGAAAACACACGAGCTATGTTGATACAGGCAACAGGAAGGGCAAGAGGTCTGGCATATCGCCGAACTTAAAGGGAACAAAAACATTGTTATAAATGGTTTTATAACAGAGTAGCCGTATGAAGTAAAACTATCAACTTGCAATTCAGGAAACAACTTGTTCGTGACCTTATCCTTGAGGGCAAGGTAGGGTTGTAAATGGAAAGAAGCTACGAAGAAGACCACATCACCCCAGATAAAACACACGAAACACTAAGTAATTAGTGAATACTCCTATGAGGACGTGGGCCTAGACTTGTTCATTGCTGTGTGATAAACATCGAAACACAGAAAAGTGACCGTCAAATGGTAGAATGTAATGGAGAAGAAAAGTTCGTTCAACCCAGGTGTTACTGTGTTTGAACCTATGTGCATGTACAACGTATTCTGCGTTTGTCAGAGGGAAAACAAAAGGTTATTCGATGCATTAACATTTTAAGGTAAGTTTATTGATAATATCACAATATATATTTGTTTAAAATATGAATAAAATTATAGCAGAAAATGTAAATACGAGTAATATTCCTTTCATTTTAAAGTAATATTGCGAAATGACAGCTTGAGGAACGGTTTCAAGTGACAAAGTAAACTTTACTTAAAATGTATATTATATTTTATTGTTGTGTGTGGGGTTTTAAGAAATATTCACTGTTTTATCAAAATACATGTAAATCGGTCCAGCAGAGGGTGGGTGGGTTTTAAGGGCTGGTATTTAAAGGTTAAATTTCCATGAACTGTGTTATTTATGTAGGTTAGCTTTGTATCAAGAGATTTGTATTTGCAATAACACTAGGAGTATTGACGGATACAAAATTATAAAGACTGCATTCGGAAAATGTGATCTCCAAAAAACAAGAACTCCCTTGTCTTGTTTGTTTTTATTTCCTAAATTCTGAATGTCTCTAGAACAATCACTCAGATTGTTGATTTGAGAACACTGTATTGCACAGACTGTTAAGCATGAAATGAAATTGGAGAGAAGTAGAGGGTAAGGAAACAGGTGTGAGGTATTTCAGGACTCTATGAAACCATGCAACTGGAAAAATTGATGAAGAATGGGTGCAGTTTCAGCCAAGAATCGGCTAGGTACATTTTGAATGCATTTCATACTGGGATGTGATGCTAAGTGAAGTAACTGTTGTTCCACATGCCTCTTTACGCCTTAATATAAAGTAAATGATAAGCCTAAGAACTATGTCGTAGAGTTAACATAGGTCACTATGATCAAATTAAATGGATCTTATTTGTTAGTCTACTTTCATTTATTATTGAAAGAAGGCTTATATGGTCACCATTCTATGTATGTCCCCCTTTCAGTTTGTTGAAAGTACTGACTAATTTTTATGAAATTTGGTATGAACATTGTCATCAGAGACTACCCTAACCTCAAACAGTTGACTCCTGATTATTCAGGGGTGGATAAACCAGGGTCTGTCTGGTTAAATTAAAAATTAATTTAGGAAATGTGTTGTAAAAGATAGAATGTTTAAAAAGGAAGGAATAAGTATAACAGTGACATTATTTGACATATTAACATAAATCAGCTATTGCTAAATCCTGAAGTTTGTGACAATAGAAAACTGTTAAGTACTATTTGCTGTACTATTTAAAAAAATAGTTGGTATGCACTGTATTAAATTTTATATAAAATCCTTTCTGTTATTAATAAATCATTAAAAATTTGAGTAGTATATGGCCATAAATAAACTTATGTATTTGTTAGAATTGCATATTTCATTTCATTTTTGTGGATTATCCAAAGTTTCTGATTACCTTGTAAAATATATTTTCCAACCAACCTGGATAATCAAAGAGTCTACTGTATAATTTAATTCCTACAATCATTTGTGGACACTTGAACTTTTGAAGTGGAAGCAACACTTAAATGTATGATCTTAAAATTATATACAGCTATTGTTCAGGTAATTTGTGGTAAAATGTAAACAAATGACAGCTACACGAAACCTGTCCTTCGCTTCTGCTTTAATGAAGTTGATGTTTTGAGAACTATCTTTGTCATCATCCTGAGGGTACAGAAGAACTTCTGGTTCTTGAAACATTGGTGTTTTCTCTATTAAACCACCTGACACGGCCGACAGCCCAAGAAGAATTCATTATACTTTGTCGCCGTGAAAGCTTCGGATCATACATGACGATGATGATGATAAACAACAATTTCAGGCAATAAAGGAATTGATTTCAGTGCGTAAATAAGATACATATTACGGCAACATTTCTACGACTGGATGTCTGAGCAATAGGAGAATATTCATAAGTTTTACCTGGAATTGCTTGTTAGTACATTGCTACATCTTACATCGCTCCTGCTGCATATAACATAAGACACTGTGATTCGAAGGATCTGACATTTATCTGCTAGCATCACGACATGTTGGAAGTAAAGGACACGGCTAGGGTTCAATTTCTGAGAAGTGAAATTACATTCTTTATTACGGACAGTGTACATACATTGGAGAATGATATTAACATGGATCTTAGAGAAGGTGCGACAGATTTTGGGCATTTTAACCTTCAAGTTTGATATCAGGGAATATCTTGATTATCTGAATAACTACGAGGCTCGTCCTCAAAGTAAGTTTCCCTGGGGCCGTTTACAGAAACAAAACACAATTTCATGGAAATATTTATTGCAACAGATACAGCAAGTGTCCAGCTATTTTTCAACATATTCGCCACCGGAAGTGAGACATTTGTCATACCGTGGGACCAACTTTTGAATACCTGTGTCGTAGAAGTCGCCCGCCTGGGATTGGAACCACTGTGTGACAACCATCTCCGCCTCTCTGTCATTCTCAAAACGCTGACACTGACCGGACAGGAATTTCTTGAGGTGTAGGAAAAGATGGAAATCACTGGGAGCGAGATCCGGGCTGTAGGGTGAATGATTAAACACCTCCCAGCTGAACTCCTGCAGGAGACTCGCTGTCCGTCGAGCCATCACGTACGCACAGTCACTTCGCGCAATATAAGGTTTGCTAGCTGTGGGACGAGTGGGAAACTTACTTTGAGGACGCGCCTCGTATTACAGTGGACAGAGAAAAAGGTAAAAAAGTTGAGACAATACATGTGCACGAATAAACATACATATTTTTTATTATTATTTTAAGTTCATAAAACTTGGAAACTTTCTGTTTGCACTTGGCATGCCAAATGTTCGACTGAAATTCAACATAAGCCAGACAACAACGTAATTAAATAAATATAATTGTACACCAGTATCCTTTATGTGAGATCTACAAAAAAAATATAATAATAAATATAATGCAATGGGTCATGTTACAGTAATAGAAATGCTATTTATGTCACAGAGCATTCGATATGGTTTACGGACAACTTCAGGCAGTGGTTTCGAAACTTAACCATTACATAAATAGGAAAAAAAAGTAAAGCTTGTTCCACTACACACCATTTAGGTGCTTGGGCGGAGAGGAGTTACAGCTCCTACTCATTCTTAACCTCAGCACTAGATGGGGGTTGTGTGGAATAGCATCACACCCCCAGCTGCAATACTTTGTTCATAATTTAAGTAATGTAGCATTAAATTATATGAATAATTACAGGATATATAAAATAAATAATAATGGCATCTTCAATATTGGATGCAACAAAATATTTGGTACAATATTATATTAACTTCTGGTATAAATAATGAAGTATATTCAGAGTTTAAAGATTCAAATTCAGATCCGTGATAGAACAAAGCCATCGGAGGAAAATCTCCCACATCACAAGTGGTTTCAGGACAGTTACATTGAGGAAATTTTTTCAGCATGGTAAATCTCTAACTGAGGGCCAAAGCTGTGCTAGATCACTGGCTGGTTAAGTTTATTATATACCTTAGAGAAAGTCTGATTGATGCATGGTTCATTTAACACTTTATCAATCTGCATATGTAATAACAGTATCAAATTACAAATGAATGACGAATACTGAAATAATGTAGAAGTGGCCATGGCCTACTTATGGTATTTCATGCAGGCACTTTAGAAATCCATAACAAGCTCAGTCACTGTATCCATCCTCCCAGCTGAGATCCTAATCCCACATACAAAGTAGGAATGCTGTCAATTTCTCCGCAGTGTTCAGTGTGGGTGAACTCGGAGAGTAACGTACCCCCTACCACTCTGCCGACAAATGAAATCTCATCTGGATTATTATCTTGACTGACATTTGCTATGGTTTTTTAGTTATGGCTGCCCTCTTTTCTAATAATTATACCTACTCTCCATTTACAATTAAATTTCAAGGTCATCTGATGCTATGTAACACATGCAGCAGAAAAAATGTCGTCAAATAAGCCAAGACTCAATGAACGCTGAACCAAGATTGTGAAGAAAATACTAATAATAAAACCATGAGACAGCGTCTTTAACCATTCAAATCTTCTGTGAAAATTCTCTATCTGAAAAGTGGATGAACTAAGTATACAGTGCAAACAAGAGTCTTTTCAGTTCCATTATAATTCTTTGTGGCACAAGAGAAGAATTAAGAAGTACTTCAGGACTCTGCACTATTATTTTCTAAAATTATTCTCTGACCAACGAAGAAGTATTGAGGAGAGTCAACGAGCAAAGACACGAAGGAAAGCTAACTGGCTGGGACATATTATGAGAAGGAATGGATTAATGAGTGATATCACCGAAGGCCAGGTTGAAGGAAAGCGAGGACTGGGAAGAAGACTGATACAGCTAACCGACGACCTTAAACAAGGAAAGAAGATGACGTTCCAGGAATTAAAGCGAGAAGCCGAGAATAGGGACAACTGGAGAGCTCTTTTTGGGCAGAGCAATGGACCTGTCGTAAGACAGAACACTTAATAATAATAATAAGCAATGAAGTATCGTCAGAAAATCAGCTATGCAAGAATGGAGTTACTATCAAACATTTCAGAAACTGCCTCTGCCTCCATTATCAGGGTTGATGTGACGCACGATGCAACAGCCCACTTAGCTCTAAGAGCAAACCCTCGGGGACCGGAGGGCACTTGGGCAGTGAGTCAGTCACACACGATCCATGTGGTATAACCTAACCTAAGCTATCACTGGCCCTTCCTTCTGTTGACTTTTGATGGTTGTAAGTTGTGTTTAACAGTCTGTTAAAATAAAAGTAACATTCAACAGAATGGATTTTAACTTTAAAATAGCATTGTAGCTTAATTGGGGAGATGTCGTCATTTAACGTCACAAAAAACATCAACTTGCAACTCCATTTCAGAATAAAATGTGGAGAACAGCGAGTTTATACTGTGACTGATCTAACTATCGGGATCGTCTGTCGACTCTCCTTCTAACAAAAGACGCTGGTCCTCCTTCTTCTTGGCTAAACCGTGCTTCTTCTTACGCCTGTTGATAACTCCATCTTCATCGTCCATCATTCGGATTATCTGAATCTGATCAGACGTGTCCATGGGCGCCACAGAGATATCTCGTACTGCTCGAAACTTGCCGCAGTTGTTGAGGTGTTCGTTCTCCAGTCGAAAGAAGTTCCACACGAAACGTCTAGAAAATACGATATACATGGTATTACACATTTATACAGTGTCTGGCGATGATATTCTGCCTTTAATCAACTATTCATTCACATTATCCACGCGTTGTTAAACTACGAACAGATTTATTTTTCCCCACGTAACTTGCAGTTTGGGTTAAATTATGGTGCTTTTACTAATGTATGAGAATTTCTCTATGCACACCCCAATTTTTACTTCAGTTGTCAGAAAAAAGTAAAAAGAAGTACAAAAACTGAATTAATTATTTGCACAGGACGACTACTAGGACCAAGAACATGCAACGAAGTTGCTCACGATGGCCGATAAAACCATAATAGCATGAATAAAGAAAATTCTTAGATCAGCTTCAGGTCTGTTTCCATTGCCATGTGAATTGATGTAATCATCATCAATGTGCCAAAATACGAGGAGCGTCCTCAAAGTAAGTTTCCCACTCGTCCCACGGCTAGCAAACCTTATATTGCGCGAAGCGACTGTGCGTACGTGATAGAGCAATGACGTAGCATGGCGCATGCACTAACGGTACTTCCCGCGTTCTCACAGTAGCATCGTTGAAGATGGAGTTTCTTATTCCAGCTCCCGCCGACTGTGAAGTGCGGTCAGTGATAACGCTAGGCCGCACACGGCTCGACGGACAGCAAGTCTCCTGCAGGAGTTCAGCTGGGAGGTGTTTAATCATCCACCCTACAGCCCGGACCTCGCTCCCAGTGATTTCCATCTTTTCCTACACCTCAAGAAATTCCTGTCCGGTCAGCGTCAGCGTCAGCGTTTTGAGAATGACAGAGAGGCGGAGATGGCTGTCACACAGTGGTTCCAATCCCAGGCGGCAGACTTCTACGACACAGGTATTCAAAAGTTGGTCCCACGGTATGACAAATGTCTCAATTCCGGTGGCGAATATGTTGAAAAATAGCTGGACACTTGCTGTATCTGTTGCAATAAATATTTCCATGAAATTGCGTTTTGTTTCTGTAAACGGCCCCAGGGAAACTTACTTTGTGGACGAGCCTCGTACATGAACAGAGATCCTCATTTCTGTTTGGCAAGATCTTTATCTTCGTCTTCCACTGTGGCCATTCAACACCACTATTCTACACGCATTTCTTATTTCCCCACAATCTCAGTTCATCATATTAATGCCATAATACTATAAGAATTTTAAATCATAAAACCATAAAATATGCAATATCTTCTATTTCTGACTTAAGTCATTGCACTTAGGAACAAATATTTTATTTAGCACTTTGATCTCCTTCCATGTTAAACAATTATTAAACCATTCTAAGTGATACAGACCTGAAAACTTCTAAGGGTGACAGAATACAAATCATGATGTCACCATGAACATAACCCATTGAAGTCAGAGATAAGTTGACAGCCCAGCCAAACCGCAAGATGAAATCCTCCACAATTGCAAAGTAATAGTAACCCTGAAGGAGGGAAGAAAGAGAACAAATTCTGAATTACAAACAGTTCTGAATGAGTTGATGAAATACTCTCAGGCTACAAGACGTGCCAGGTGGCTGAACAGCGAACAAACCAAATCTTGTGCTTGTCCCGTGCCGTAGCCGCGCGGTCTGAGGCATCATGCTTCAGACCGGCGATACGGAATGCGCGCTGGTTCGAGTCTCGGGGGAGAAGAAATTTTCTCATGAGCTTTCGACCGGTGCCAACCCAGCATCGTGAGGAAATTGGGGAGCTACAATGAGTAGCGTAATCCGGTCAGGAAAGCTAGCAATGGCTGGGGGTTCGTCGTGCTGACCACATGTCATCCTTTATCTGGTTGGATGATCGTTCACCTTAGCTTAGGCATGTGAACGTGAGGCCAGCAGTCAAGCTAGTCGGCTTAGGCTCTCTGGAGCTGTTACGCCACGGATTTAATTTGATTTTAAATCTTGTGCTTACATTTCGAGAACTATCTCTGTTCTCATCCTCAGAGATGGTTCTCGAAACGTTTGCAGAAGATTTGGTTTGTTCAATCGTTCAGCCACCTGGCACGGCTTGTAGCCCGAGAGTATCAACTTCAGTCGCCATGAAAGCTTCACGTCATACATTTCTGAATGAGATTTTAGGTTCTCACAGTATGAAGATATATGAATGTATGAGTATGAAGATGGCTGTCTTCTGGTTTGTTGCACCAAGCAGGGTGGTAAAAGTTTATTGACGTTTCAGAGGCGCTTGCAGCCTCTGTCGTGATGATGGGGGCAGCAAGCGTCTGCATGGCGCAGCTGCCGTCTCCAGCAGTTCTGAAGTCTCATATGCGCTACCCCCCATCCTTTCTCTCATAAATGTCCAGAGTAATGTAAAGTCTGTCTGAAAGGGAGACAGACTCACAGCATGACAAATCAGCAGTGTTATCACATTTTAACATAGCATAAGAAATGGCACACTGACCAAATTTTACTGCAAGGTACAGTGTATTTCTAATGACGGAACACCTACAGTGTTCAGATCGAGATCTTCTGGGTTACTGTGCCTTGTAGAATTATGGTTGTATACTAATGTTTCAGAGGTTGAAGCAGGCCATAACTGCAGATATCATCAACCTGAGTCATGATATCCTGCTAAATGATACCAGAACCCTGGCCTAGAAAACAAGACGCATGGACAGGATCAAGCAATATGGACCGTGCCCCAGCTGAACGTGTTAAGACAAGGTGGGTTCTCCCCAAACAGGCCGTGAAAGCCTCTTATCCACTCAAACCCTGGTCATCCAACATGAACCAACTCACTATACTGACTGAGCTACCGTGGCCCCTGGGATCGAACCTGGGACCTTTTGAACACAGGAGTACAGCCAACTATGGAAACGTAATGTATATCGTATGTATCTCAGGCGACGGATAATGTGCAACATCATATTAATACATCGAATCAACAGTATCAGAGGTTTAAGTGGTGGTAGAAATCTGGGTTGTCATCTTCCGGGTAATGGGATTGTATAGTCACGTAGTTGTTACCGATGGGACTCTGGAAATGTAAGCAACAGCTTCCGCCGAAATGATGGCGGCTACATACAAGGTTACGCAGCATCCCAACCCAGAAGACCACAGTCCCTTAGAGAATCGCAACATTATCAGTTAATACAATTTCAGAAAAACAGATGGGGTCTGGCATTCTCCATGTACCTGAAGTAGAGGCAACAGATTACACCCAGGAATGTCCGAACTAGTCTGTGCCTTATCCTCAATCCACAACATCCCCTCTTAATGATAGTATTCATCACTATTCCTGTGCTGTTACTCAGTCAGCTTCTCACTCCAGCCACATTTACCCCCCTCTAGGAACCGAGGCGGCACGAGAGCTTTTTAGGATCTGCTGGAGACGAGAAACCTCGTAATCCCGTACCCCAATACTTACTGAGTGAACGTCTCAACTCGTTAATTTCTAGCGACTACTTACAGTTGATGAGTAGACTATCTCCTCTCGCAAATATTTGTTATCTCCTGCCTTCTTATCAAGCAAGCCCCAGTCCATCTTGATGTCCCATGTGTATGCATAACAAGAGCTTAGTACGGAGGCCATCACCAACATGTAAAAGTATGGATTTTCTGATGTTACTTGATACTTGTCTGAGCACAAATGAGAAAACAGGTTAGTGTGATAAGTCATGAGGTAGTAACAGAATATAAAATATATTAAACTTAAATTCCCCTAAGTGTGTTACTAAAAATAGCAACAGTTGTGTACTGAGATCTCTAACATACAGAACTAGACAGCCAACCAAGAACTAGTAAGTAGAAAAGTCTGAAGGTTTTCAACACTGTAAATATCAACATCAACGATTGTCCTGAGCCAGTTCGATCTTCACGACCCAAATATAAGATATCCATTTTTGGCATGTTTCCACCACAAAGCTGCAAAAATTCACATATTAGCTTCGCCATGTCTGCCTGCCCACACGAAATAACCCAAGAAGTGCTGAACAGCTTTTCGTTAATTCAGTGTTGGTGAATTTTACCAACATTCCAATTTTGGTTAAAACTGAATAGCTGTAGACATTACATGACGACCTACATGCATTTATGTGTGAGAACATCCAGCATAAGTTGCTAAATATTAACAACAAAAAATATTTTATACAAAACTTTTGCAGAAAAATTAAACATATTTTATGCTCAAGATATTTTTTCTGCAAGTCTTATGGTTTTCAAGATAATTAAATGAAAGGGATTTCTGATACTGTGTCATATCATACCTCAAGAACCAGTGAACAGATTTTCACTAAATTCTATACCAGTGACCCTTCCGCAGTTGCCCCACCTGTCTTTGGCTGTCATCCGAAGTTGGCATTCATGCATTGAAAATATACAGGCAATAATAGAGCAAACATGCCAGAACTCTTATGCTATGCATACATTTCCTAACTTCTTATATTAATATCCTAAGTAGCCACCAAGATGTTCCACTCCAAAATTCCACAAACATTTATTGTTTTTCCATCTAAGCTAAATGTGCTTCTCCCTGTAACTCTGTTCATTTAACTACCCCAACAAAATTCCAACACATGGATATACCTTTGACTGTGTCTCAGACGCGTTAATATCGTTCTTCAGCGCTAGAGAATTATTGTACATAAATTAAGTGGGATCATCCAATAGGGCAGGTTTGTACGATTCTAACGAAGGGAGAATATTTTTTTGTGATGTAAAAAATCTAGTATGTTACAAAAATTAATTTTCATCCAAAAGTAATTTCCCAATGTAGACAGCTCTTTCTGGTAAACTCTGTACAGCAAAGTTCAACCACTTAAAATTTTCTAAGTCCCAAACCAGAAATGACACAGCTGGCGTCATAATATCAGTCATTCAAATCATTCATAATCCCTTTGTATGTGGATTTTCTGTGCCTTCCGTTGTCTGCAACGATTTACGAAAACATCTGGTAATCAAATACACAAATACGTCCGCCTAATTTGAATAGAGATGTCAATTTCACCGAGTCCTCGAAAAGCAAAATAGAAGTGAAAGCTGTGTTTAAGCTTGTAGACCAGCTGGCACGGTAGAGGACTCATAATAATGAAAAAATCATGTTTGTAAGTTTGAATCCCAATGTCTGCAATGAAGAAATTCTCCGATATGTCTTCACCTTAAACAATTTCAGCTCTCTCATTTTCTGCTGTGTACCAATGCAGGCTTACAGGATCGTAAAACAGAACGTTTCGTGCATCTTTTGTGGCAATGCTGCTCACAATTCCCAATGCAATATTCTGTTACTCAGAGAAAAATGATGGTACAGAAAAATATGATGATTGATTTTTCAGTTTATATGACTTTTATGAACCGTACATCGTTGCCTGTATGCGGTACAGCCCACCACATATCACAATAGCATGCCGCTAACCCCAAAGTTAAAATACGGCCACCAGCCCCACAGCGCAGGTGTTCTAATCCCATATTCTGATACAATAAAGCTGAAGAGGTCATAGAGTATTAAAAAAGAAATAGTTATGAACAGTGAATTGGGGAGGATCAAAATTGAAAAAGCTCATGCCTTTAATTACAGTTTTGGATGTATTAATAGATCTGGTCCATTAGAGTCATGCAAGAAAATGATTGAAAGCAGATATTCCTGTGGAAGTATAATGCTTACCAACCTCCGTGTGTCAAATTCAGCGTGCTAAACAGCATGACAAAGAAAGAGGTGGCATATTTCCCAGCATTCACAAGATGAGGAAAAGCTTCCTTTGTGTCTCTGTAACGCCGCAAGCACTGCGCAAATCTCCACCAAGCTGGCAGACAGCCGACCAACGGGCGTATTATATGAGTATAATCATCACAAACATTTATATCTGTCAAAAAGTTAAACATGAAACATCGGACAGTAACTGACGAGTGCGGTTCCAAAACTCAGTCAGTCCGTTCCTCGCATTTTCCAGCTAGGTGTAGTTCTTGTTAGTTGGTTTTGAGGTTCTTACGGCGGTGAGTCTGAAGATGGCTGTCTTCTGGGTTGTCGCAGTCTGGTAGAAGTTTACCGACGTTTCAGATGCCCTTGATGCCTCCAACATCAGGGCAATGAATCACCCTGATGATGGTGGCAGGAATGGCCTCTGAAACGTTGGTAAACTTCTACCAGACTGCAACAACCCAGAAGACAGCCATCTTCTTCCTAAGTTCTGCTTCAAGGAAGTTTATTTTCCCACAACGTTCTTAAATTCACTAAGTGAGTTTTAGAACTTCAGTCTTCAATTAAAGGTGTGTATATGTCACAAGATACTTGATGAAGTAATTAAATGCAGTTTCTTACCATTTGCAACCATCCAGTTGTCATTTGCCAGGTAGAAACATATAAAATACTGAAAGTCGACAAGAACTATGACCAAACTATTCAACTGGTCAGCCAGCCAGAAGTCAGCAAAGTTGACATAGAACAAGGGAGCTAAAACTATTCGACCCTGCGAACAGAGAATCACAACGCATTATACAAATGTTGTTCTTCGTAAGCAGGTTTTTTTTTTTTGCAAAACATATAAATATCATCACAAACTATCTCTACGAGTCTTCTAAAATTTATTACATTAGGAATGTGTAACAGATTTTATACGAGGCGCGTCCCAAAACTAAGTTTCCCTAGGGCCGTTTACAGAAACGAAACACAATTTCATGGAAATATTTATTGCAACAGATACAGCAAGTGTCCAGCTATTTTTCAACATATTCGCCACCGGAATTGAGACATTTGTCATACCGTGGGACCAACTTTTGAATACCTGGGTCGTAGAAGTCTGCCGCCTGGGATTGGAACCACTGTGTGACAGCCATCTCCGCCTCTCTGTCATTCTCAAAACGCTGACGCTGACGCTGACCGGACAGGAATTTCTTGAGGTGTAGGAAAAGATGGAAATCACTGGGAGCGAGGTCCGGGCTGTAGGGTGAATGATTAAACACCTCCCAGCTGAACTTCTGCAGGAGACTTGCTGTCCGTCGAGCCGTGTGCGGCTTAGCGTTATCACTGACCGCACTTCACAGTCGGCGGGGGCTGGAATAAGAACCTCCATCTTCAACAGCTGCAACGATGCTACTGTGAGAACGCGGGAGGTGCCGTTAGTGCATGCGCCATGCTACGTCATTGCTCTATCACGTACGCACAGTCGCTTCGCGCAATATAAGGTTTGCTAGCTGTGGGACGAGTGGGAAACTTACTTTTGGGACGCGCCTCGTATATGCACAAATCCGATACATTTCTAATTTTTCAGAAAATGGCTATTAAGAGCTATGCTGAACTCGTATGATGTTTCAGAAAAAAAACAGTGATTTGTAAATTTCTGGAATTAGGGGACAACATGATACAAAGTTTTTGCATTACATACAAACTTACTAATTTCTTGCAAAATCACTGAAAAATTACATAGTTTATTCACTGGATCCCCAAAATGTTTATTAAAGGTAAAATGACTTACCAGAACTTTCAATGCCCAAAATCTAGCTTCGTGTCGGAAAGTCTTGGTTGGGTTCAGGATGAAAGCAGCCATGATCGTAATGAGAGCTAATGGATTGACATATGGTGGGATACTTAGAGAAGCACTATACAAGAAGCTGAGGACACTAAGAGCCCACACAACCCCAAATATTGACGCTAGTTCCATGATGTGCTGCTCGGAGAGGTGATTGCGGGGATCCAGCTCAAATATGAGCACGTGATTAACTCCAGATGATCTCCAGCCATATACATTGATACCCATGAGGAACAAAAACTCAACAATGAGCAGTGGACCTCTGTATAGACGAAATACAATCCTCCAGTCATCTCGTGAGCGATGAAAGATACCTGAGTATAAAATAAAATATAAGATTAATAAAATGTGGTCTTCGGAAAATTGGACATAACTTTCACCATTACAAAACAAATTAATAACAATTTAATATTCACCAGAATTGACGATCAGTATTGATAAATATGGTAAAAAATGTAAAGCTGTCCCGCTATGCGCCATGTAGGTAACCTCGGCACTAGTATCCATGATAAATATGGTCGATCTTTATATTAGAAACATCTAATACAGATTCCACAGAGTTAGAAAAAAAATACTATGTTTTCATTGTACAAACGTCTGTATAACAAAGGTGACTTCAAATGAAAAACTTAAAATTTGCCCTATAGAGGTTTAAAAAAAAATATATGCATTTTTTTATTAGTTATATAGTTCATTAGCATTAAGAAAAAAATTAAATTAAACATTTTTACTTCATTTCATAATCTTTGACAATTTCTTTCCAGTTTCCTGGTGTCAACATCTACAACCAAGGGTCTATTATCTTTGACACTAAGAAACAACAACAGAAACAAAGAATTTTAAAGGGATGAAAGGAAGAAATTGCTCTTGTGAAAAGGAACGGTAATGTACAAGAAACTAATGCTTTGTAAAATGTACAGAAAATTTGCAGAACTAAAAAATCTGATAAAAATGTCTCATTGCCAGAACAAAGTAAACATCCACTGATTTATAAATATAAAATATTAATATGAGTACTACAGAATGCCAAGCAGTAACGCTCTGTAACAGAATCTGAGATGAAGATTTCTGTCTTCTGGGTTGTTGCACTGTGTAGTCTGGTCGATGTTAACCAACGTTTCAGAGGTCATACTGCCTCCATCATCATCGCCCTGATGGCGGAGGCAGTATGACCTCTGAAACGTTGTTCAACATCGACCAGACTACACAGTGCAACAACCCAGAAGACAGAAATCTTCATACTCTGATGACGGAGGCAGTACGACCTCCGAAACGTTGTTCAACATCGACCAGACTACACAGCGCAACAACCCAGAAGACAGAAATCTTCATACTCACCGCTGTGAAAACCTCAAATCTTACAGAATCTGAGATACTCTACAGTTGAAATTATAATATGGAATATGTAAAATGTTACTGATTCTAAGCAGTGTATTGTAGTAGACTCAGGGGACAGATAGATACAAAAGGCTCATGAATTTAAATTTTGATCCAAATTGATGAGAGGGAATAAACATAAGGCCTGTGTGTGACACAAGGATTAGGGAGACACTAATTGGAATATAGGTGGCAAATAAACTTTTATAAAGGAAGAAAAGTAAAGCTGCCCCACTACATGCCATGTAGGTGCTTAGGGAGAGACATGGTATAGCTTCTACTCATTCTTAACCTTGGCACTAGATAGGGGTGAGTGGTCAGCGTCACTCCCAGGCTGCACTTGTTTTACCCTCCAGAAAGGACTCCCAGTACGCATCGGACAGGAAGCTGGGTGGGCCTCAGAGCCCATCTGGATGCACACACTAAAGGAAAAATCCTCTGCCCCTGTTGGGGATGAATCCCTGGTCGTCCAGTTCATAGTCGGTCACGAAACTGACTGAGCTAGGCCGGCTCATATATAAAGAAATAACCTAACCTGACAGCACGACCGCAATGAGAAGCACAATAAAAGAGCCTGAGAACAGCCCGACTTTGAAGGTGGTCCAGGGACTCTGCTGCTCGCCCAGAGGGGGTACTCTCAGTCTTTTCATTGCCCTCTGACGATCTCCACCCTCCAGATCCTGCGTCACCGTCGACTCTGTTTCACGGATCAAACGGTCAATATCTTTACTGGTATTGAAATGAGATGATTCCACATTCTCTGTTCTCCAACGAGCACCGACATCAACGTTCAGTAACTGCAAAGACAAATCTTACACAATATATTAGCTTCATTTTGTACGCACGCACGCATAATAAAAGCATTGCCTCCTTAAACAGTGGCTGTTGCATTCTTTACTACAATTCTAAGTTAAATTTTAATTTATTTTATATTAACCTTGTCGTGTTTCTTCAGTATCTTGCGAAAACCAGTGAAGTTGAGGGTCTGATAATTTTGAAGCAGAATTAGACTCAAATAAAATTCACTGAATGCCAGCTTCAGCTCCTGGATTTTTCGGGCTGGAACATCTCGTTTGCGCAAGATGTTCGGTCCGTGTCGTAGTAAGCCTTCCTTCCCGTGAAATTCCTCATCTTGTGCCTCACTCAACTCACTGCTCAGATTTGCAAATTTTCGAGTCGCTTCTGCAAGTTTCTCTGCACACGCAAAACAAAACGAGGAACACAAAATAAATGGTTATCATTCTTTAAACTGTTAACCGTATAAATCTCATTTAGGAGCAAGTTAATGATGATGATGATGATCCGGAATACATATCTTTGAATCCTGGCCCTATTTATGTAGCATAAGTTGTTTTTATGAAACACCTCCACCTCCTATCACGTTTTATTTCCTGCATAAACCACTTTAACTTACATAATGCAGTTGGTCAATTTACTGTCATTTACTCAACATACCTGAATAAAATGTATTAATCTTGGCCAACTCTCTATCACAGTAATGGAAGAACTGTTCGTCAAATTTCGCAAAGTAGCGCGTTAGGACTTCAGGCTCTATCAGCTCTGCTGAAGGGGCCTGTTCAACAGCTGCATAGAGCATTGCCTTCATCTCCTATAAATAAAGTTTGAACTGATTCAAAACAGTGCTTGAAAGTAATTCAGTTCTAAAGGGTTTTGACGACGGTAGATTACACTTAAAATTATTCATTGTCAGGACTTTTTTCTTCCATCGTCTGTTCTTTAAAATTATTGAACAATTTATATTGTCCAGTGACAGAGACTAGCTCTTTCTAAGGGACCTAACAGAGTAGGTATACCTCTCTCCTGAAGACGGAGACAGAACCAGCCTCCGAAACGTCGTGGTTTTAAAGAACAGACGATATAGAAAGTCCTGACAATGAATACTTCTGTCCTGTACATTTATAATTATTGACACTTTCTTCAAAAACTGATTGGGTCCAGGTAAAGTTAACAGCTTTTGTACCACTATTCACCAGTAGCGTATAAATATAAATTTTATAAGAGTAATAAGAATTGTGCATTTACTAGTATGTCAAGATTTACTGTTGTCCAAGAATGAGTTTAAATGTTGAAAAACTGAAAATAAGAAATGACTAAAGTCAGGTAAGAACAGAATATGCTCCTCCACCAATCACAGATTTCTAGTATCAGTTTTTTTCGATTTCTGTCCAGTTTTGTCAACAGTGATGTGTAGGAAGGATTTGAAGGAACCTCAAGTCTTACAAGGATTTGAGGTTTTCATGGCAGAGAGTCTGAAGATGGCTGTGTTCTGGGTTGTTGTGTCTTGTAGTCTGGTAGGTGATGAATCATCACCCTGATGACCTAAGGACCTCTGAAACGTTGGTAAACTCTTACCAAACTGCATGGTACAACAACCCAGAAGACAGCCATATTCTGCAATGTTAAGTTTTGTCTTATGTTCACATGGAGAGAATAAGTGGCTTCTATACCAAGAAACCTACATTTGCTGGAAGCAGGTTGTTAGCGCATGCAGTATTCTAGCTTCCAGATTACCATTGTGATATATCCTTTTTTAAATACCTTTTATATTTCATATCATTTATATTTTTCAAACATATTACATATGGTACAGTTCATATTTCGTGAAACAACAGGCAGCTTGGTATCCTACTGTGAAGATGGAAGCAGTACATTTCTATGAAATTGTAACTACCTACAAGACTACATGGTATTACAACCTAGAAGACCACAGTCAGAATGTTTGGCTTTACTAAGTGGCACAGAATTATGAAGGGGCTACCATGATTTAATGAACAGCTGATGGATATTATGATTAGAAAATCACGGTTAAAATATTTTCAGCACAGATGCTATTTATGCAGTTATACATGGTCAGATTATATTACAAGTTACGAAAATCAGAAGCTTCAAATTTAAATCAGTCGCGTGCGATAACACAATAAAAACAAAATACTTTTGCCAATCATAAAAGTTTTAGGTTATAGTAATTATGTTTACCTCGTAATTAATGTATTGCTTTCTCCATTCTGGAGTGATGTGTGCAGACAGATGCTCTGCAAACTTCATTGTATTGGTCTTTGGCAAGCTAGTTAATTAAAATATTTACATATTACTACTGTATTTCGTCTTCTGCCAAGCAAAACGACTCCATTGTAATCACAGATTATACCGGAATTACAGATGTCCTAGCTTTATGTGTAAGATTATTCTGTGAATTCGATGTCTGAGCTTCGTGAATACATGTGAGGTAAAGAAGAAAAGTTCTGAAGCGAAACAAGGCTAAAATATGAAGATTAATTATAACTTCTTAGCCTTATCATTATTTGGAAATATTAGAAAGGTAATATTTAGTAATGTTTTACATGATCAGAACGAAATCATGATTCTAGGTTATGTGGGACAGACGTTTGTATTTCCAATTAGACCAGATTTGTGCGAAATTGGATGTACAATAATAACTGATGAGCCGGTAAAGGGCATTTTACGATACGGGTAGTGTAAGAATGGTATAGTTAGCACACATGCTTCGTATCTTGCCCAGAAGAAGGCTATTTTGGCTGAGGGTTTTGCTCTCTCCATCCAGGTAAGCAGGCAACGACCACTGCCATCCATATCTACCATTCATAATCATTTTGATATTTTATGCAGAAACTCTGAGCTAATGACAAAATCATTAATTTTCCACGAGTAAATAAAAGACTATAGTAAGGATTTATCAATTCAATATTGAACTTTGATGTGATGCTCTTAGTGTGATAGGTAAGATACACCACAGTTGAATTTGAGGTTTTCACAGCAGTGAGTCTTAGAATGACTGTCTTCTGGGTTGTAGTGCCATGTGGTCTGGTAGAAGTTTACCGGCGTTTCAGAGGTCCTTGCCCCTTCCATCATCAGGCTGTTGAGTCTGTGCCTTGATGACGGAGGTGCACAGTTCTATAACCCAGAGGACTGCCATCTTGAGACATGCTATTAACTGCACATTAATTGAAAGTGATGAAACTTATGCATATAAATTTTTATTTATACAGTATGCAACAAAACCCAAGTGTTCTATTTGTATGGAAAGTCAGCTGATAGATCATATTAAAGATCATGAAATAAAACCAAGAAAGCATCCAGGTGTTATGAAAATAAGAATTGCAGAAGTCCCAGTTGTGGTAATTAATGCAATGAAAGCTGTTTTGAAGGGTAAGTGTAGAATTATTAATGGCTCCAATCTTTCATGGTATTTCAACACTAATGTAGATAATCTTTGGGTGAAGCATCATGTACATGTGGGCTGTATTGCAGATGCTTCAGAAGCCTTTGCGTTCACTGTGTTTCCTCTCTGTCAATCCACTGGGGAAATCGAAGCATCAAATTTGTCATCTCCCACAGCTTTTTAATCATATATTTCTCTGAACCCTACCCTAGTGCTGCCTTTAAAACAGCAGCTCTTTCAAAATTTTACTTACGACATATACGAGGCGCGTCCTCAAAGTAAGTTTCCCTGGGGCCGTTTACAGAAACAAAACACAATTTCATGGAAATATTTATTGCAACAGATACAGCAAGTGTCCAGCTATTTTTCAACATATTCGCCACCGGAATTGAGACATTGGTCATACCGTGGGACCAACTTTTGAATACCTGGGTCGTAGAAGTCTGCCGCCTGGGATTGGAACCACTGTGTGACAGCCATCTCCGCCTCTCTGTCATTCTCAAAACGCTGACGCTGACGCTGACCGGACAGGAATTTCTTGAGGTGTAGGAAAAGATGGAAATCACTGGGAGCGAGGTCCGGGCTGTAGGGTGGATGATTAAACACCTCCCAGCTGAACTCCTGCAGGAGACTTGCTGTCTGTCGAGCCGTGTGCGGCCTAGCGTTATCACTGACCGCACTTCACAGTCGGCGGGAGCTGGAATAAGAACCTCCATCTTCAACAGCTGCAACGATGCTACTGTGAGAACGCGGGAGGTGCCGTTAGTGCATGCGCCATGCTACGTCATTGCTCTATCACGTACGCACAGTCGCTTCGCGCAATATAAGGTTTGCTAGCTGTGGGACGAGTGGGAAACTTACTTTTAGGACGCGCCTCGTATAATGTACTGAGGTACTGTAGTTCATTTGTTTCTTTTGAAGCTTGACCTTTGCTGGAACATACAGCAGCCGGTCACAATAGCAATAGCCTGAATTAACTTCGCTGTAAGGTATGCTTGATAACGCTTGTCGGTTAGGAGTTCGGCTGTGTACCGTGCGACCCGATCGAAACCAACCATGAAACTCGCAGATACGGTTGGCCCACCCTGTTGCATCGAGTTCTTCCAATTGGTTTTTCACCCAAGCTTCTTGAGACAAGGAATCTGAGGTGAACTTCACTAACGTAAAGTGATACGCATGTCATGCGTAATGAAATTAAAGTATCAGAACCACTTTTGTGTTAAAGTCTTACTTTAAAAATGTTTTTTTTCGTAGTCTTCAAAGGTAACAGAGGTGTACAAGTTACAAATCAGGAACAGTCTTTAATAGTTCGGCATATTTAAGATTTGCTTTTCTATTATTAGACAAACCTGTGAAGGCTATCAGCTTCGGTGGATCAGAACTTGCAAGATATTTGAAGGCGAGACACGTGCCTGTTGAAGAAGATCAGATCAGATACAAGGGAAATGAAATACAAAAACAGATTGAAGCTAAACGTAAGAACGGAACAGCTAAGTGACTAAGTACTTGTCTTCCTTGAGCAGTTCATAGTCATCTTTGCATACTCTGGATCCAATCCTGAGTCTCTTCAGTCGAGTCCTTATTCTTTTTCCGAGACTCAATTTAATATTATCCTTCTGTCTATGCCTATATCTTTCAGATGGTCACTTTTGTGAACTTTTCCAACAGATTTTTTTTTTTTCCATGTATACTGCACGTCCCATCTAAACATCCTCAGTCTGTGTTCTTCCTACAGAGTAAAGGCCGCCATTCACGATCGCTCCATTTGTCCAAATGGCGCGGTGTCGCTCCAAAATTGTACCATGAATGCGGAAACTGAAGTCCATTGGCGTGGCGTGGTGGGCTCGTTTGGATATTCTGTCGAGCCATAATCCATCCCATCACTCCATCGTATCGTG